ATAGCCTCCCTTTTGAGATGCATTTACGTGAGATTGTCGTGTAACGGATCAGAGCTTTAGCTGAAAAAAAGCTCATTTATACCTGCCAGAGGAACATGGAATGTACCCTGACTTAAGAAAAACAGTCCTGCTGCCTGTTTCTTTTCTACTTGCACAGTGTAGGTGAATTGTAATATTGGTTAACTAATACAGTTATTAAGCAAAGGTTAGAAGGCCAGAATCTATAATAATCCAAAATGTGTGAATGCTTTTGCAAAATATAAAATTAGCTCTTACAAATTTGCTATGAAAAAAAAAAAAAGATGTTTAAAGTTTCTAAAAGGTCCTAACAAATACCGTGCAGCAGCTCTACTATTTCCTGTTAGTACTCCATAAAGAAGTTGTCTGGTGCTTTCTTAAACTTAGTTAAAAAATTGCTATATATAAGCTTTTAATGAATTTGTGGTTGATTGTAAGAAAGTATACCAAGCTACCAAGACAGAATTCCTCTACTGTGGAAATACTCACCCAAGTCCTGAATTGCTGTTAGCCAGTGCACAAAAATCGATAGGTTTGGTGGAAAAATTTCCAACTATGTATTAATGAATGCTTAAAGTCAGGATCCATATAAGTAATTAATCATATAACAAAAACAGATCAAATAACAACAAAAAATTAAAATGATTCTGCTTGTTGTGTATTTTTGTTTGTTTGCTAAAATGGATGATTGCCTGAAGCATTTAGGAATTATATTGGGAAATTGGCATAGGCTGTCATCTTCAAAATAGAAATGGCTGCACTTTTGAGTAGCCCAGTGTAAAATTTAACTTTAAGTATATGTGATTTTTTTTTCCTTCAGTGTGTTTAATTTAAAAGCCTCACTGTTTAAAAATAATTTTAAAAAACATTAAATTTTAAATAATTCACCTGAAGAGTTCTTCAAGACTGACGCAACACTCACCAGCTGTTTCAGTTATTTTAGGCAAACTGTGTATGAAAACACTTGTTTAAATAGACTAAGGCAAAATATCTTGAAGTCTCTGAGACATATGACTTTGACATATGATTGAAGTGTATGAAGTGCTCCTCTTACTGTGGCTGTGATACAGCAATGCTTTTAGACAGTTTATGCACATCTGCATGTTGGTAACTAATTTATAAACCTTGGGCCGAAGTACACCCATAAATACAAAAGGAACCTGCAGTAATTAGGGAAGAAAAAAAAAAAAACTTTTGAAAACTTACAGCATTGGATTTCTGTTTTATAATTACAGATGACCTTAATGTAAGTGGCATCATCGCTGCTGTAGTATTCGTGGCACTGGTAATGGCATTATGTGGCCTTGGAGTATTTTATGCCCAAAAAAAGGGTTATTTTACAAGTAAGTACAGTAAAATCACTCCTCCTTTGTTTCAAAAAAATAGGGCTGTCATTCTACATGTCCTTCTTTTCATGAAGACTGTAGCTCCATGGTCCTAAGCTAAAGTACTCTTTAGCACAACAGCAACTTTACTGTGCAGTTTTATTCTGCCTACTTCTGCCATAAAAGATACAGTAAGAATGAAGATGTTTGTACAGTTGCATAAGGCCAGCAGACAGCAATCTAGGAAAAGCAACGAGCAGAACCCTGTTTTCCAGAGCCTCTTTGCTCTAGTTTCAAGAGGGCATGGAAAAGAAAGACACCATGAAAACAAGCTGTACAAGCTTGCTTGGAGTTCAAAAGCAGTTTTTCGAGCTCTGATTTACGGGCTCCCTCTTCTGGTTCATGGTGAAAGTGCACATGGAGACAGCTTGCTTTTGAGGATTCCTAGCAAAAGCCTGACATCAAGCAACCTCTCCATAGCATTTGTGTTAGTGCCTATAGAGTTCAGCACAGCAAAAAGGGATCCCAAATGTCAGTGAGAAAGGCCACTGCCTGAAAGTAACAGGGTAACAGAGCTGATGTTAGAGTCAACGCTCACTTAAAACGTCTACCTTTGAAAGCAACCTAATCTTTTTCTGTTCAAGCTCAGTACATCAAAATGAGAAATTTCATTTAGTAACTGAAGCTATGAGTTAATATTTCACACAAGTGTAAGGAAACTACTGTTGTGCTAATTTTTCTTTTTTTTCCCCTCCTGCAGAGGAAAGTTCTTCCCAGTAAGTATCTTAATGTTTTATACAAATCATATGCAAGTCACCATAAATTTCATTTACATTTCTGATGACTTAGTGACTGCGATGCTTAAGGTCTTTCTGTTCTGATTCTCATACAATGTTTTTTCTGAACACTGAAATAAACCTGATCTGGCACGCCAACAAGTTTCCTCATTAGAACCAATGAGCTGGTTAGAAAATCAATTATTATTACTGTGATAAATGTGCAGAGACAAGTCTTTTTTGCAGTTATGGTGTACACCCCTAACTCAGCTAGAGGCATAGTTTTTTTTTCTCATCTAAACCTGATAAAAGGTGCTCAGGGCCAAACTGAACCATATCCATAACTACAGATTACTTCAGGAGTTGTTTTGTAAAAATATGACTGGAAGAGACGTTGTAAGGTCTATTCCTTTGATACGGATTTATTTAATGCACTTGAATTGCCACTCGGTAATTCTTATTAGCAGGTCAGAATTCCTCAATCTATTTTAGTGCTCCCACACGGGACTAAAATCATGTTTTCTTGAAGGTTGGATGGCCTCCACATTTTTTATTTATTGATTTTAAAGTTTATCTTACTACTTTTAGGTAATGGCAGGTTATAGCAATATAGTAAGGAAAAATACTATTTTAAAATACTGTGATGTTTATAGTGGTCATGAATTAGACGAAGCATAACTGGAAGTCTTGAAGGGTCAGCCTAGGGAGAAGGTAATTTGCCAGTGGTTCATGAGATAATGACAGCTGTCTAAAAGCGTTTAGTGGATTTGTTACAGATTTTGTAATTTTATTTTCCTAAGAGAAGAAAAATAAACACTACTGGAAAACAGGACAAATGCATTCATATATAAAGTTGTTGAAGAGCTAAAACAAACACCAAAAAAGTCACTGTTTAATCTAATTTCCTTTCCTGTTCTATTAACAGAAAGAAGTCCAACTCTCAAGCTATGAGTGAAAAGGCAAGTATTTTGCATTTGGTAGTGTGTTTACATTTTCAGGTGCCATCAAAATTCCTTAGATCTGTGACGTTTTTGCATGCACCCAAAACCTTACATGCCACTAACACCTGGGGAAAGGGGAGTAAAAATAGTTATTGTCCATTAACCATGCCATTTGTTGTGAGGAAGAGTTCCACTTTGATGTGCTTGTGCATATTAGTTAACCAAAGAAACTGCAAGTCAAACAACCACCAAGGCAGCAGTGACAGAAATTTGGGCCTTAGTTCCTCTTAAGATTAATGTGGGTTAAAAAGGCTTGATTAAATATGGAAGCTAGAAGTGGAGGTTGTTGTTTTTTTTTTTTTTTTTTCCTATTTCCATAGTGAGAGGTCTCGAAGGATTTAATTGCATATACATTGCTCCAGCTTTCCAAACTGGTGCAAAAAGAATGGAGCTCCAACTAGAAAATTTCACTATCTACAGTTTAAGGCTACACTAGTAGGCTTGAAAGCTCTCTGAAATCTACCCCAATCCTTTAATCAAAACAGAGCATGCTGAAGAACGATGCATACTTTCACCTTTTAATAGGGTATTATTTCTGTTCTGTGTAACTACATTCTGTAGGCTTTCCTTTATAGAAAGAGCATATTCTAGTAACTGACAGCATTTCAGGTGTGCTTCTTTTCAGCCTGCATGCCTGAGTTTCTTCTGAAATGCACATTAAATGTTAATATGATTAAAATACTTGAACTATTACTTACGTATGACCTTCCTTCATTTAGGATTTCAAGCATACCAAGTCCTTTGTTATCTAGAAGATTTCAGCCTCTGTGAGGGACATCAAATGACTACTTGTTATACAAAAATATCAAAGGGATTTTTGACCTCTGCTCTGTAAATATTGCTTCCACGTACTACATACAGAAAGTAGGAATTACTACTGTTTAGATCTAGTCGACCTAATTGTTTTTTTAATAAAAAATAAAAACAAACAAAAACAGACCGTTTAAGTTAAAGATATAGCTAAGTTGAATATACAAGTCAATTTGTGTGATGACTTCTCACTTTGTTGATGTACACATGCAGCAATAAAGGATTCACGCTTGGAGCTTGGAATAGTCTATCCAAACAACTTTGACAGATGACCTTGTTACCAGTGCTTCTACTACTCAAATCTCCAGATTGTCAAGGGCTTGAACTGTCCCCCACTTCTGATTCTGTTCTTACACATACTTTGACAATGTACCAGGTTTGCCAGAGCCATCTAGAAGTAGTTACTCAAACTTTAACTCACTAGCCTGGGAGACCAAAGCTGCTTTGTAATTGAGGCCCAAACATCATTTTATTGTCGAACATAAAATGCCTACAGCATCTCTTCTTCAAGGAAGCATCTCTTTCTGTGGACTGCATATGTAATTTGCATTATGAGAAGAATCATGCCAGTACAACTAAAGCTGTAGTATCTGGACCCTAATTATTGAAGTGTTACAAATAAATAGTTCTTCAGAACCTGAAACATTTGTGTCAGTAGCTTAGTTACTGAAGTTTAAATACCACCACTGCCTTTACACCACCTCATTTACGGGTTTCACTCCCCTGTGTAAGGGTAACCCTTCCTCACTTGCATTCATTGATGCAGTGTAAAATGAGCACCTATCTTTTTGGCTGTGCAGGTCCTTCACCTCCCTTGGACTTTGCTACCAATTTAGGGTTCTCTCGTATTTTTTTTTTCCTTGCAGAAGCTTGACATATCACAAACTCAAGAGAAAAAAATAGTTTATTCCAGGTGCATTACCATTGGTATTATAATCTTCTCAGCACTAAACCATTATTTGCCAAAGGAGTTTAGCAGTAAGAATTGCTACTTACTGCCTCAATAACTGTAGGAGTTGATAATCAAAGCTAACCAGGATTCCTATGCACATAAGAACTTCACACTTCTGAAATCAAACTTAAAGATCACATTTATTAAATTACAACCGATGCCATGTTCAGCAACTCCTTGGATGCAGACTGCTGTCTGGAGTACCACCTGCAGGGATCACTTCGGAGTCTCCTCAAAGTTGGGCTCTGAAGGAGAAAGAAGAAGGGCAAATAAAGAGAAAAGCCATGTTAATTTCTTTTTATTCCAGCCTAAAATACCACCATTCATCTGCTATTCAAAGAAAACTAAACTTTCAGCTGGCAGGCCAAGACAAGCTCTTATGCATTGCAGTCTACACCTCCACTTGCTTGGAGAGGGATCTCCCTGTCCTCATCTCAACCCACAGGCTTTCTTTCTCGTCTGTCCTTCTGAGGAGAGAGAAGTTAGAGAAGAGTGTTGTGGCACTTACTTAGCTGCCCATCAGCTGTTAAACCACCAGCACAAAAGAACAAAAACTACACTAGAGGCAGGGCTTACCACCTCACAGCGGCGTATAGTGTGGTTTAAGACACACATGCCCCCTAATAACACTCTGCTGCAACACCTTTTAGCAACAACACATGAGGAGGGGGAAAAAGGCAGACAGGGAACTGAAGAAATCAACCAGAATGTTACGGGACAACCTGACTCCACTACTTCCAACATTGCTCTGATACAAGAGGCAGCAACCAAGCTCTTCTGTCCTCTTGGTTCTTGTCTCATAGAGAATTAAGTGAACAGAGTGCACAATGTCAACTCCACTCAGCAAAAGGTAATTTCCACAATATACAAAAACGAGGAGGAACAAATTCTTGATGCTGAAGGTACAAACTCAAAGAGCTAAGGGTATTGACATAGGTGCTATTAATACCTGTTCTCTTTGCTACCAGGAGTCTGAAAGGTGAGGCTCAGTTTATAGCAATCTTAGCTAAAGCAAAAAATAAAGCATCTAGCCACAGTCTTGAGAACTCCTTGAACCTAGATAAAAGGACAGAGAACAGCGATAAAGGAATGGGTGTCATGGTGTCCCCCCATTTATTTGATCTGTTCCTACTACCACATGAATTGTTTCATTACAAAAGAAAAAAAATCCTGAACTTTAATATGTATTGTTTCATATATTACATAGAAATAAAGCTGAACATAAATAAACCACATCCCTAAAACTGGGAATGGAAAAAAAGAAACACCATAGATCCTACTTGACAGATGCTCTGTTTTATTTGCACCGGTAAGAATTTGACACCAAATTCTTCCTCAATCCAACTGAAATACCACCAAAAAAAAAAATAAATTAAGGTGAGTTCCTGGTCTAAACCACAATTTCTGGTTAGTCTGATCAGAATTACAGGTTGCTGACTCTGGTGGGCTAGCCATGGCTGGCTGTGCCAGGTGCCTCCCAAGCTGCTCACTCTCTTCCTCCTTAACAGGGAGGAGAAAATAAGATGAAAGAATTCATTGGTAAGTGAACTCAAGATCAAAAGAAGATTGTTTATCAGTTGCCCTCATGCAAAACAGACTCAACTTGTGCAAGACTAATAGAGCAGGACAGTGAGTAATAAAAAAAATAAAAGCACCTTTCCTACAGACCCACTGTCTTCCAGGCTCAACTTCACTCCTTTGTTTCTGACTTGTCTGCATCCCCCTCCTTCACTGACCTTGGTGTCTGCAGGAATTTTTTTTATCTCACATATTTTCCTCACTCCTTTCACAGCTGCTGTGCAGTTATTTTTTTTTTTTAACCCTTCCTTAAACCACAGAGGTGCCACTGATGAACTGAGCCTTGCCCTGCTGTGAGCCTGCTGCAACCTGCTGTGCCTGATGTGGGGACAGCCCCTGGTCCCCTCTCACAGAGGCCACCCCAGCAGCCCCCTGCTACCAAAACCTTGCCATGTAACCCCAACGCACTGCCCCCCACAAAATACTGGGGAATCCCAGCTGCCGGTTGTTTACATGAAAGATGTCTTATCCCCCTTCCCAACCTGACTGTAAGTAAGGCTGCTTGAGAGCAATGGAGATTGAGGTGTTCTTAAAGTAAGAGAAACAACAAAGAGTCTGTCATTAAAAAATAATAATAATAAAATAAAACGTTTGCCCTTACATCCTAAGGTTACAAAGTTTATGAACCACAGTTTGGATGATACAGACTGGTTTTCAAATTACAGTCTGCTGACCTCTTTGGGGAGAAATACAAATGCCAGCAACAGGCCATCTGGGGCTATTTCTTTAGGGCCTGTGTAAGGTAATTAAGATAGCTCACTCTGCAAGTCTGGTCAAGCATCAGTGTAAGTTCACATCCTAACTGGAAAAATCAGGATATTCACTGAGGGTATCTTATGTGAGATTAATGGTCCAGATAAAAATTAAAAGGGAATTAACTATGTGAAGACCAGTTAGTGAGCGTTACTTTACTTGCAATCAGAAGTTCAGTAAGATTATTAACTCACCTTCAAATTTAAATTCTGGGAACTTGGTTAGATCTCCCTCACCGTACATCCTCTGAAGTCTAGCAAGTGATTCGTTCATGTCTTTCTGGAACTCAGGGCCTACATCAACAGGCCCTCCAGCTTGCCTAAAAAAAAGAATGAGAAGTTCTGATTAGCAGTTCAGTTCTGAAATTTTATGTGGAAGTTCTACATTTTCATAGTGATTTATGAATTACCACTTTGACAATCAACTAAAGCAAATAATTTAAAGCATTTCCAAAAATTGAGATATGACACACCTTAGGGCCTACCTATCTTACAGATAAAGAACATTCTCAGGGTAAAATGCAGGCTTTTTGCTACTATTAGTGAAAATCCAAGCTACAGAGGCAGCCTTTCAAGACACAAAACTACAATGAATATACATATTTGCAGGGCTCTGGCATTTCACTTGTTCCAGATGTGACTTCTTGACAAGATTGTGATTTGTACCTCTACTATTTCTGAATTGTGATCTTAGTAAAGCTTAACTTCAGTTTTGCAAAAAGAACGTGACTTGAGTATTAAACAAGCAAAAAGAACAAGAGACAGGGCACCATGAATTCATACAGATTCAGAGAAGAATTTCTTGGGATACACATATAAAATAGTTGAAATAGTAACTCTACAGATTACTCATGCTCCACAGTGTGCAAAAAAATATAGTGTGCCGTAACACCCTAAGAAGTAAGACATCAGTTGTTTTTTAAGGGTGAGAAAGAAGCGTACATTTCCTGTTAGCTTTCCAACTGCAAGCCTTCTCTCACCCATGACAATATCAGTAAGTGTTGCAGGAAAGCAAGAATTGTCATTCGGAACAGTCACAGAGCAAAGTTAAACACACTCAATTTCTTTTTGTGAGCAAGCCAAAAACCTGTTTTAGTATGGTCAGTGTAGTAATGCAGCAACTTTCTCCTGAACTAGAGGAAAGGACTTGAGTCTTCTATTTTCAACACTGTCAGCACCACCTTCCAAATGTATTCTTATAGGAGGATATACCACGAACAGAAAAATAGTATCACCAAGTATCAGAATACATTTGTACATACGCAGTTCTGATACATGTCAGTGGTTTCAGGTGTTCTTTCAAAATGTAAAAGCTAAACTCGAACCCTTGCTCTAAACCTAGCTTTAAACCTGAGAATATATCCTGCTGAAGCTGTCATTCTGTACCAAAAAAGTCTGCCAGCAAAAACTGCACCAGAGTATTACATTCTACAAAAAAACACAAATCATCATGCCAACCTTCCAATTTTAAAGCTAAGTACATTATGTGAAATGCTTTCATCCAGATTTATGTGGGGTCTCACAGGTTGTTTAAAGAGAAACTCAACAAGAGACTGCTCTTCACAGTTTCCCTGCATCATGCCTATCATGGTCTGTCATGCCATCAAAGGCCTGTTAATCAGTGGTTGGTTGCATAAGGAAGAGTGCAAGAGGTAGGAGTAGGTGAGAGGGGAGCAGCACAGCTGGAGTCGGGCTGGCTGATTCTTGTGGACCCCTCCCAGCTTGGGGTGTCCTGATTCCATTACCAGAGGGAGGCAAATCCTGAGTGTGAATTAAAGCGGATGCCTTTTGAATGAACCCAGTCTGCTCCCCGGTGACCTCAGCACCTCCCAAGGCGTTGCCTTCTGGCAGAGGAGCACACCTGCAATGCACAGGGCCCAACTACAACATTAACACATGCCGTAATTTGTTAAAATCACCTTTTTCCCCCACTTTTGCCCCCTGCCTTCAGCCCCCCACCCCCCACTCACTTGCTCTTGGTGTTGTACTCCCGGATCTTGTCCAGGAACATCTTCTGCACCGGGTCGAGCTCCTTCGCCCTGTTGAAGGCGACGGCCGAGAGCCCCACGTTCCTCCGCAGCTGCACCGCGACGGCGGCGCGCAGCAGGGCCGGGACGCGCAGCAGCTGGCGCAGGACCATGGCGGCGCCGCCGGTCGGGCTGAAAGCGAGAAAAAACGCGGTTACCTACACCCGCCGCCAGTACAGACACGTAAACAGGGCGTTCAGCGCGTACACGGGGTAATGAGCGCGGCAATTAGCCGTTAATCAGCCGTTATTTAGCCGTTAATCAACACCCCCCCCCCCCTCAGCGCGGTCACCTTGCCCGGGCCACCCTCACCACTACAGCGCGGGGGCTGCTGGGAAGGCGCGGCCCGGCCGGGCGGCGCGCGGGGGCCGCCGGGAGTTGTAGTCCCTCGCCGGGCCTCGGGGGGTGGTGGCGGCGGCAGCGGCGGTGCCTCGGAGCGCGCGCGCCCTCCCCGCGCTGCCCAATCGCGAGCGCGCGCCGCGGCCTCCGCAGGGCGGCGGGACCCGGCGGGGGGGGAGCCCGCGGCAGGAGCAGCAGCAGGAGGAGGAGGAGGAGGAGGCGGCGGCAGCGCGCGGCCGGGCCGGGCCGGGCCCGGGGAGCGGCGGCAGCGGCGGGTAAGGGCGGCCTGCCCCGAGCCGAGCCGAGCCGCGCCGCGGGGCCGCCCCGTGTTTTGTTTCCGTTTCTCCGCGGTGCCGCCGGCCTCATTTCCGTTTCGGGTTCAAACGGCGCCGGGGTGGAGGGGGGAGCACGGGGGGGGCGCCATGGGGCTCGGGGGCGGCCGGGTGCGCAGCCAGGGAACCGGGACGGGACGGGACGGGACGGGCGGGACCGCGGAGCTGCGCCCCTGGCCGCGGAGGCCGGGTAGGGGCAGCCGGCAGAAGCCAGAGGGCTGCGGGTGCCGCCCGCATCGCGTGTGCGCGCGGCCTGCGAGCTGCTCCCGGCCAGCCCGGCTGCTGGAGCTGCCCCGGGCTGAGCTGCAGAGCGCAGAGAGGGCCCGGGGAGCTGGGCAGGGGCAGCGGGTGTCAGTGCTCTCAGAGAAAGCAGTGCAGGCGGTGGTTCGTGCGTGTCTTGCTGGTTTTTTATTTTTTAATCATGTAGGCAGTTGCTGTACTAGATGTCTCTCTGGGCATCTCTCTTATGGAGAGTCGCTGGGCATGCCAGTCTTCTCTTTGTAGCAATTTCTGGCGAGCTGCTGGCCTGCGTGTATTTGTGTAGTCCCATCTGTGTGTGTCTGCTTTCAGCCTCTGTGCAGTCCTGTAGCAGCAAGTTTCACTGGGCTTCTTGTGAGATGCCTGTGTTGTCCTAAACATGCTGCTTGGTAATGTTATCAGCAGTCGATTATTCACTCTTTAAGAGAGTGAATACTTTTCCCCACTGGTCTTCTCCAGACTGTTCTATGACTTCACGTATTTGGGTAACGTTATTCTTCCTCTTTCCACCCTGCCATCTCCCTTTCTTGCGTTTGTGCTCAATGGAGCTGTCTTTTTTCCTCTTTCTCTACCTGCTGTCTGTGCCTGTGCTCACCTTTTCTACCTCCCTAGGGTAACCAGGAGTTAGGCTGTTGCATAGCCTGCAAGGTGCAACTGCATAATGTAGAAAGGCAAACTGTCTTTGAAGCGTGAGTGAGCTGCCACTAGTCCAGCTGCCAATTGAGAGTCCAGTCCACAAGGACTCCAAAAACGTATTACCTAATTCTATATGTTTCCAGTTACAGCGTTCCTATAATATTTACTCAATGCACATGACTTTGCATTTACCAATATTGAATATTTTCTTTCATCAGTCGTTCAAGACCTTGAGTTCTTTCAAGAGTTCTTCAGATTCCTAATAAATAAGTCATGAACATGTCAAATAGCAGAAATTATAGCCCAACCCTTTTCGCAGCCTAGCTAGTAAACTCCCTTCCTCACAAAAAATAACTTATTTCTGTTGTTTTGGACTTTTACTTCTTCTTTTTTTTTTTTTTTTTTCTAATTTGATTAATACATGAGGTTGTTTGTTTGTTTGTTTGTTTGGTGTAGTACCAGTTAGCTTCCCTGGGAGATTTCAGTAAGGCACTTTGCTCAAATGTTAATTTCCAAAAATCTTAACAGTTGACCAGCTCACCTATAGCATCAGTTCCTTCAGAGAGATTTGGTTAAGCTTGTCTACATTCTTCAGAAACGGTGTTTCATTCTTTCCCATTTAGTATGAGGATGATCTACAAAGTTAGGTGATATGGAAAGTTCAGTGAACCCATCCCTTACAGCTCAGGGGTTTTCAGAGCTAGATGTGAGAGTGGAACAGATTCTGGTTTTGGCGGTGAGATGTTAATGAGGTGCTGTTTACTTCCTGCCTAGCTCTCATAGCTTCTTACAGATTGACATCAGATACAACACTTGATTTCTTCTGGTAACAAAACTAATTTTACATAATAGTTTTTGAAGGGCTTTATAAGACGTGCAGTTTGGATTCCTTTAAACCATCTCTGTAAAACTGCATGACTTGTTTACTGTTCATTTTGAGAAGAATTTAAAAATCTTGTATTAACGGGTTTGGGATAAATGAGTCCATCAGAAAGAATGATTCCAGGATTGAAACCTTGCTAGCCTCTTCTGTTATGAAGACAAAGATAGTACGTAGCATAAAAATATGCATTAACTTTCAAAGAACTTTAAAAAGTTATTTGGCTTATTCCAGAAGCATTCAGTAAGTAGGGATGCTTCCAAGGAAACAAAGCTTTGCACTCAGTGTTTATGTCTGTTCAGAGTCCTGAATTCGTCCCATGGAACATCCGTAGGAGAAACAGGTATTGTCATCTACTTTGTGAAATCTGTATTAGGTTTTGTTTTTCTTTTTTTTTTTTAAGTGAATTCTTAGCTTTAAAAAGCTGCCTAGGTATTTGGTTCAAAAATTTTGGGTAGTATACAAAACATTGTCAAGTTTTGTTGGTCTGTGACTTATGAAAAAAAATTCTTTTCTGTTCATAGCTCTGTTTTCAAGACGTTTTAGCCATGACTAAGAGAGATGCAGAAGAGTTGATAGAAATAGAAATTGATGGAACTGAGAAACAGGAATGCACTGAAGAAAGGTAGGTACTGTCTTCACTTTGGGGGGATCATTAGGCTATGATTTATTTATTTGGTGTGTTCTACTGATTTCAGGTTTGTGGTTGCACATGCTAAGTTCAGTTACTCAGATTTATTATTAGGTATCGTGTAATGCTTCAGAGATGGCCATGATTATGAAATAAGTGCAAGTGTTTCTAGCTCAGCTAAAGTAACTTGAAACTGGCTGAAGTAACTGGATCACTGTTGTCTCCACATTCCTGCACTTGATCACTTCCATAGATTTTCAGCTTTCTTGCTGGATACAAAGCTTGTCGTTTTGCTTGTACTCTCTTCAGTTTTTCTAATGCAATTAAGTGGTGGTTTCTTGAAGTGGAAATGTAGCCCACTATTGGAAACCAGTATAGTGCTGCCATAGAATCGTACAGTGTTCTGAATTGGAAGAGACTCACAAAGAATCATGGACTCCAACTCCTGTCTGATTTTTGGGTGGTCTTGTGTGGAGACCATGTGTCTGAGAGCCTTGTGCAAGTGCTTCTTGAACTCCTGCACGCTCGGTGCTGTGACCACTGCCCTAGGGAGCCTGTCCCAGTGCCTGACCACCTCTGGGTGCAGACCCTTACCCCCAGCCTGACCCTCCCCTGTCCCAGCTCCATGCCGTTCCCTCAGGTCCTGTCGCTGTCCCCAGAGAGCAGAGCTCAGCGCCTGCCCCTCTGCTCCCCTCATGAGGAAGCTGCAGGCTGCCATGAGGCCTCCCCTCAGCCTGCTCTGCTCGGGGCTGAACAAGCCAAGGGACCTCAGCCGCTCCTCACACATCTTGCCTTATAGACCCTTCACCATCTCCATAGCCCTCCTTTGGACACTCTCTGATGGTTTTATGTCCTTTTTGTACTGTGGGTCCCAAAACTGCACAGAGCAGAGCAAAACAATTCCTTCCCTCAACCAGCTAGCCATGCGGTGCCGTGCTTGATGCACCCAAGAGTACGGTTGACCCTCCTGGCTGCCAGGGCACGCTGCTGACTGCTATTCAATGTGCCAGCAACCAGAACCCCCGAATCCCTTTCTGCAGGGCTGCCTTCCAGCCTCTCATCCCACATTCTATCATAATCTTAGTTGCCTAAATCCCAAACCATTTTATTTATCTCTTCCTAGGTTCTTAGTAGTTCTCTTTCTTTCCACTACTTTAATGTCTGTAGGAGTGTGTTTACATGTACTAAAAAACTGTCAGTTTCTCCAGTCCATTGTTATTCAGTGTCCCTTTTTTAAAGGAGCAGAAATTATATTCTGTATATTGTGACTGTATTGTTAACAGGGCCCTGTAAACTGCAGATACCAAAGTCGCTTTTGCTGCAGTTACCTCAGCCTAGTTTTTTCTTCCAAGAGCTTCCCTCTTAATTTTCACAACTGTTTTTGAAAATACAGAGATGCAGTTAATGCATTTGGAAGAAATAACTGAGGCTGGTAGATGACCTGCTCTGTAAGAACCTTTTTTGGAGAACTGTTTCAAAAACATTCATTATTTTGTCCTTATTCTGAGCTCAGTGTGTATTTTTATTATATATGACCTGACTGTGTCCATATACTTTCTGATTTCCTTTCTGCAAATGGATATTTTGGAATGCCTATGCCAATAGTGTCATCAATTTAATGCAAGATAGCCATGATACCTAGATAATGTTTCCTTCAAGGTTATATGTTGCTGTAGTCCTTTCTGGCATCTCTTGTAGGTGTTAAGCTTATCCTTATGCTGACTAGTTCAAAGATGTGGATGGTTATTCTTTATGAGAGGGAATGCTTTCTTCCTTCTTTGTTCCCTGCCTGTTAAGTTTCTGTATTTGTTTTTTGACATGGATCTTTTAAATACAGTCTACACAAGGTACTAGAATTATTTTAACTGCATGCAGGTTATATATATAATATATATATAACAATATATAATATATTAATCATAACTTCATGTCTTGGAAACACCATTCTGAAAATAATGTAGCCTAGCTTTGGAACTGTGACATGACTTTTTTTACTAAAAAAAAAAGGGGGGGGAAGAGTTACAGTTGTCAAATTTGGTCACGTTGATTTTACAATTTATGCTCTACCTGTCTGTATTGTGCAAGCTTTATTAACATACAGATAATGAGTTATTGTTTTCTTTTGGTACTTAAGCATTGTTGAGCAAACCTACACCACAGCAGAATTTGTGAGTCAAGCTATTGATATCAATGAACCAATTGGAAATCTTAAGAAGTTGCTGGAACCCAGGTTGCAATGTTCCTTGGATGCACATGAAATATGTCTGCAAGATATCCAGGTAAATTGAAAGGTTATGGCAGATTTAAACTCTTGCAAGAGAAGCTTTTTACTTTGTCCCCGTCTTTCATTGTTCATTGAATTCACACTTGAACTCCGTA